ATATACCAATTGTCACCCAGAGACTTTTTGTGTGATCCACAGTTTTCTTTTTTATTTTTGCTAAAGGAAAACATTTATCAATTGCTACCTTCAAATTATTGTGAAAATTCGTATAGGATTCACAAGGGTCATTGGTTTCGAAAGTACTTTCCCACGATATATTTTTCACAGATAATGAAAACGAAGCAAGATTATCTTTGTCGACCATTCTTCTATAATGTTCATTTCCTCTTTTTGTATTATTTTTATCAAGATGTGCCTCTGACTATATTTTGAGTGTATTATTATTAGAAAAAATGTATTTTAACGTCGTACATAGATTGTATAAACTATACCGTCAAAATCCTGTTTAATTGCGTCGACTAAGTATTCCAAGTCTGCACGATGCAACACGAATTTACTTGTCTGTTTAGGAGAGTGTATATCAAGGAGTTACAACTAGATTAAAGATTTAATTACCGCGTGTATAACGTCAGACAATCTGTTCTACTTTATCAGAAGCACCAAAGCCAATTAGAATTATACTCTATAAAACTCTATACTCTTCGAAAAAACACGAGACTTTCCTCTTGGCAATTGCCACATGTGAGGAGAAAAGTTGTCCACGAGGAAAGCACTAGTCAAGAGTGCTTGTACTTGTGCTCGTGTTTTAAAACAGGCTTGCTTCTTGCTGATTATTTTGTTTTTTTCTAGATTTTAGTTCTACAATGCGGTCCTCTCCGGGGAACCGATTTCTTACGGTTAGTAGAGTATTTCATCTGGTGGTGTTTCTTATGTTATCACGTATTACTCACATTACCACAACTCCTCTGATACATGTAGACAATCCTGGTAACCTCACCCTAGGTGGATTATTCCCCTTGACATCTGTTGATGAAAAAGAGAACTGTCGTGATATCATATCTGTCGATGCTATGAGACCATTTCTGGCTATGTATTTCGCCGTAGACACAATCAACTCAGACGACTCCATTCTTCCGAATATAACTCTCGGAACTAAACTTTTGGATACTTGCAAAAGCCGTGTTTCATCGCTGGACTACACCCTTAAACATTTTGTCTTTGGCGAGAATAATGGAAAACTAAGTGATTATCCAATTGTTGGACTGGTCGGACCAGCGACCAGTATTGAGGCAGGTACAATATCCAAGGTAAAAATAGTCGGACGGCTGTAATATTCTTGTTTGAAGTTTTACCTCAAACAGTCTGTGCCAGTGTAGGTAGAGTCGATAACAAGATACTGCGCTTTGAGAGATACAACTATATCTAAAAATACAAACAGAACTTCGACATTTCGATCGAAGGCCCTTCGTTGGAAAAAACATGTGCTTGTATTTTTCCGGTAGTTGTCACGAGATATTAAGTGACGTTTTTGACAACACGAACGGCATGAGTAACGTCAGAAGACTGGGTCAAGGGCTGTGATTGGTGAAAAACGTCAACTTTACTTCCGGTCGACGTCCGTGTTGTCAAAAACGTCACTTGCTTAAGCTCACTATTACTCGAGAAACTCCGCATTTACGGAGTTGATACAAATAGTTTATCCTGGTTTCGATCCTATTTACAAGATCGCAAAAACAAAAATGTTATGTGAATGATGTTCTATCCGGCGAACGTACAAATAATTGTGGTGTGCCTCAGGGGTCAATTATTGGACAGTTATTATTTCTCACTGATATATCAACAATCTTCCTCGGTGTTTAAAACATTCAACAGTTTGAATGTACGCTGACGATACAAGCATAACAACGACAGGAACATCTAATCCAGAAATATAGGAGAACGGGACTGATGTTTTCCGGCGGGGGGGAGGGGGCAGTTGAAAGTTTGCCCAATTTTTATGGAGAATTGTAGTGAAATAACCTAATTTTAACATATTTTCTGATAAATCTGCCCGAATTTTCTTGATTTTTCCTAGCATTTGCCCGAATTTCCATGGGTTTTTCCAATTTATTTTTTTTTGGGGGGGGGGGCAGTCCCCCCCCCCTGCCCCCTGTCTCGTACGCCTATGACCAGAAATAGTAACACCTGCTAATAATGACTTAACTAATATAAGTAACTGGCTGAAAGCAAACAAACTCAGCCTTAACGTGACCAAAACGGAGTACATGTTCATTGGATCAGAACAAAATATAGACAAGTTAAGAGATGTACCGCTACTGTTTCTTGAAAACAAAGCTATAAATAGGGTCAAAGCAACCAAGTAATTAGCGGTACATATTGATGAAAGACTAACATGGCATGAACATGCACATTCAAAATATTTCAAAAAAAGTAGGTGCTGTAATTTCAGGTTTATGGCGGGTAAGGGAGTTTGTCCCATTATCGACATGGTTAACAATCTATAAGTCGTTAATACAACCATTATTTGATTACTTCGATGTTATTTGGGACAGCCCTCCTGCTGCTGCCGCCAACATTCTACAAAAGTTGCAAAATCGTGCCGCTAGAGTTATTACTCGTCAAGGTTACGATTTCAGATCCAATGAAATAAGGAAAACAGTGAATTGGAAAACTCTTGCTGAAATACAAGGCATACACATTCAAATTAACTATGATGTATAAGATATTAAATAACTTGGCACTAAATTATTTGAGAGACCATTTTAAAATGTTTCCATTGGAAATTTCTATAGAATGATTAAGAAATGGAAAACTATACCTTGTACTACCAAAGCCTCAAACGGAATATTTAAAGGAAGCTTTGCATTTTCAGGGGTAAAATTGTGGAATACTCTACCTGAAGATGTAAAATGCAGCAACAGATTGAGTCAATAATTTAAAATAGGAGTAATGATCACATTATCAACTTCTAGCTAAAATTGTATATATATTCGGCTTTCTTGTAAAGCAGTGCTATGCACTGAAGGATCTCCGAATTCAAATAAATATTTCTTTTTCTCTCTGTCTCTACGCAGGTTTATATTTCCATGCATATACAATAATAAAATTAGGTACACATGGTAAAAGAACACGAGAGAATGGTGTTAGGAATATACATAGAAATATTTATTCCATAATTTACCATTATTCTAAAAATGCATCATTTGACTGACGATATATATGAGCAAGGTTTTTGTGTTTCCTGACTTGTACCTCTCATATATACTTACTGTACAGATTCAGATTTCAGTAACATTTTAAAAATTCAAAACTGTGTGTTCTTGAATTAATTTAAAGGAAAGGTGAAAACATAATCGCTCCAATGCTATAGGATTTTGTTTTTCCGCTAACCAGGGATTATTTGTGTTTGTGTCTTTAGTTAAACAAGTTGCCATTTTTTATGCATTTAGATCACAAATTGGAAACGTTTAGTTTGTACATGCATGATTAATGTTCCGTTTATACACGCAGCCACAAATCCGATAGAAAATAATCTCGATTTTCCCCCGCATTCGGAAATTTGAATCCCGAAAAATGTGGAAACTTCGTATCCGGAGTTATTTGAAACCTTCCGCGATAACTGCAATTTTGTCGCGACTTTTCGAGCAGTCACTGCTTTTTCGCTTGCTTTTACTTAATATATAGCTTTTTTGGAGCGTTGTCCCCGTTAGGGTACTAATTCCGCCTGGCTAGCGCTATTTACACATGGGGAAGGGAAAGCATTAGCGAAATCCCCGAACTCCTTTTGTAAATTTAGCCCCATATCCTATTGTTCCAACACTATATTCTTTCGAAAGAAACACCTGCTATAACTTGAATGTACACATAAAATGACCACACTAAATTTTAAAAAAATATATAGGTAACAAAAATATATAGGTAACAAAGTAATTTTAAACATCAAGTAGCTTTGACCCATACGTTCCTGGTCTCAAAATAACAATTGATAAGAGTTGACAATACAAATTATTGAAAAATAACGTTTTCATATATTTTGAAGGTTTTGGGGGTATTAAAGATTCCCGTGATTAGCTATTGGGCGACAAGTGATGAACTCAGTGACAAGTCGGAGTATGAGTATTTCTCTCGAACAATACCATCAGATATGTTACAAGTCAAAGCGATAGTGGATGTTCTGGATTATTTTAACTGGACTTATGTGTCCATTGTGTACACCGATGAATCTTATGGTCGATACGGATTTGAAATGCTGAAGAAGGAGGCGACAAAGCACGGTACATGAATCTGTATTTTTCCTGCAACCGTGCTATAATGAAATTCATAAATTCACTTGTATTGCCTTACTCTGTTCTGTACTTTATCCTCGAGCCGCCAGTGGAGCGAGGGGGCGCTAATTCCGCATGGCTATTTACATCCTGTAGTGATGATCGGCGGTGCAATTTCATGTTGAGTATAAGAGTAGATCGGTCTTTCTACTTTTACTTTAAGTTAAATGAACATTTTACGATGCGTCCAAGGTATAATTTTACATGAAGTGGACGCTAAGCCTTATAATATGCACAATAGCATACCTACATTATACATTTTCGAAGTTGAAAGTTTTACCATTTAAAGGAAAGAGATAATTTTTTACAAGAAAATTAAGAAACCGTTCGGTTGACAAAGTTAAAAGTAATTTTTGGAAACTATAGCTGGAAGGGTGAGCGGATGCTGCATGGATGTATTACTAGTTGTACTGTATTTGTATTGATATATCGATTGACTAGTTGTACCTTGCCGTACTGTGTCATACTGCACTTGAGGATCACGAACGGCTTAAAGTCCGCCGCACACGAGCGCACTTGTTGCGCGTACTTGTTATTCGTGACAAGTTGGATCGACAAAATTTCCTCGTGTGCGGGCAACATTTACGGCATTTTCGTCATTCGTGACATGTAAACCAAATATCAGACATGTTTGATAAAATTTGCGCATGCGTGCAACTTGCAGAATTAAGAACAAGACACGAGCTCGTGATTTTGATCCGCCATGTTGTTTTTAATTCTGCAAGTTGCACGCATGCGCCAATTTTCCTATTCAGGCGCGCTTGTCGTTTTCTCGCCGCACATGAGAATTTTTTGTCACGAATGACGAAAAATATCAAACATGTTTGATATTTGGTTTACATGTCACGAATGACGAAAATGCCGTAAATGTTGCCCGCACAGGAGGAAATTTTGTCTATCCAACTTGTCACGAATAACAAGTACGCGCGACAAGTGCGCTGGTGTGTGGCGGGCTTAAAAAGTCTGATGCCAAAAATTTCTAAGCAAAAACTATACATGCTGTACTAAATAAATTTTAATTGAACAAAAAACAATAGACGATCGATCAGTCATTTGTTAACATTTCCATTCTCTACGTTTCGTCTTTTTTCGGGTTTCATTTGACGTAACATTCACTCAAGTGTGAGTCAGGGGTTTGTGTCAACAGTAAACGACCGCTTTTACAATAGTCAGAGAACTCATTTACACAAGATGCATTGACAGCCATTTTGTCTCTTTGAATTTTAGTTGACCCCAATTCAATGGTCGATTCCCATTTGAACGAAATTGTGCTAAAACACGGATCATGTAATTGAAACCCAACTATTGCTTTACATTCATCTTCAGGAGTGTTTATAAGGCCGCTGCTTGCGAGTGGTAAAGTTTAATGATGCCACAGAATGAGTATCTTACAGCAGACCGACTTTCTTGGTTTTGCCCATGATTTTGGCGAAACCGTTGCAATGCTGTCGCCATGTCCCTAACCAGTACGCGTACAAGAGGTATTCAGGTCGTCAAATTTAATACGAAGCTTTAATCTAATTAACTCGCGAAATTTACAATGCTATGTGAGAATGAAACAAAAGGCAATACAACAAACAAAGGCGAGTTAGATATGGGATCGGCGAACGGACTCGAAGTCCCAACAAGCCAACGCAACACATAAATTATAACTAGAAATTTACACTAAGAAAATCGCTTAAAACTTCAATAAAAGTTCTCTAATATCACTGAACAGACAGCCCATTCTTTTGCTCAGGTTGACTGCACATACCAACGTAGAAATAAATTAATTTAATAGGAATTATTTCGGAAAATAATCCTAAATACTAACCCACGCGCTATAGTACTAACCCTAATTCTAATTTAGATTAGCGTTCGATTAGGGTCAGATTAATTTAAGATTAAATTAGGATTAGGGTTATAGATTAGAGTCGGAGTAGATTTTGGTTTGGGTGAAACTTTTCTCCAGTATCCCTGGTTTTGAAGTGCCTGGACTGCGAAACTAGATTGAACATATACATAGTTTTGAAGCATAAATATAAGGAATAAGGGTATAATATATAAATTTGTACTTTATGTCTCTTGCCGGATTTCTTGCAAAAAAGCCTTATAATTGCCCTGAGTATACTAGTCATCGCTTCAATTTCGTTAAATTTATTAAATAGTATCGAAATCGAGAATATTTGAGCTTTATAGAGACATAAAAAGGTTTATTATTATTAATATATATAAGTACTGAGATTTATTCATTAAAATGTCATTGTGTATAATAATCGTACGGAATTTAGCCACAACCAATCAGCGACGTGAACGATAAAATTTCACTAGTGAAACAACATCGTTAGTGCCGTCTGATTAGATGAACGAACGATGTTTTTCACTAGTGAAAAATGAGCGTACACGAAAATACGCTGTTTTCTACCACCAAAAATTTGGAGCGAAAGCTATTTCAAGTTGAAAATCAAAATGGCTGCGAGATTTGCGGACGCCAGTTCTGTTGACAATTTTATTTCAGAACAAGAAAATAAAGATACCTCACAAAAAACAGAACGACATGTAAAACTATTACACTTGTTTTTGCAAACCAAGAATGAAGAAAGAAAAATGGAAGATATTCCGACAGCAGAACTGAACGAGTACGTGTCTGAGTTTATCATTTCGATCAGAACCAAAGATGGGAAAGAATGCGAGCCATCTTCGCTCCGAAGTTTATTAGGAAGCTTCGAGCGACGTCTTAAGAAAAAAATTACCCTGCAAGCATTATCAACGATTTAGCATTTGAGAAGACAAGAAAATCTCTTCAATCCAAGCAAGAAGAATTAAAGAAACCAGGAAAAGGAAATAAACCAAACGCTTCGGTGCCTTTATATAACTAGTTCGGAACTAAATACGCTGTATGCAAAAAACCTTCTCGGTACGGTAAATCCCGAGTCGCTTTTAAACACGCTTTGGTTGAATAACACAATGCATTTTGGACTCAGAAGCTGCAAAGAGCATAGAGATATGTGCTGGGGTGATGTAAAATTGAAGCAAACAGTAGACGGCGAGGAATTTTTAGGGTTCAATGAGAGACAAATCAAAACAAGAACTGGATCAGACTGCCGTGATGTCAGAAAAATGACGCCTAAAATGTTTGCTACTGATGGTCCAGAAAGAGATCCCGTGATCGTCTACACACTGTATAGTCCAGAAAAGATCTCAGAAAATGAAAGATAATGACTCTCCGTTTTATTTAGCTGTCACAAGAACTTGAAGGCAGAGTCGCTTCAAACGAAACAATGGTTCAAGGTCGGTCCTGTTGGAATAAACAAACTGAATAGTCTGATGAAAACTATGGCTCAAAAAGCAGGAATTAACAACGACCGTCTGCGAAATCACAGCGGTAGAAAACAATAATTCAAACACTTAGCGAAAAAGATATTCTACCGACACATGTCGCCCAACTGTCAGGGCACAAGAATCTAAAGAGCATAGAAAACTACAGCAAAGTATCGACTAAACAGGAAATGCAAATGTCCAAAATACTCAGCGGCGTTGTATCTGCTACTGCACCAAGATATCCTCCCATGAAAGAGAAAATCCGACCGCAATTTGCCCATCCAACTCCGAGACACAACAAGCCATGATTTATTCAGCGGGGTTGCTATAAAGGGTGGTAACTTTTCCATCAACATAATAAACACAGTAAACCAGTCACCCAAGCTCACTGTAGAACGAGAATCAAGTCCAGTTAATTAATAGATTTAGAGGACAGTAGCGACGATGAGTATTTTTAAAAGCAGTTTGAAGTATTTCTATAAATATGTGTTCATTTCATATTTTCTTCGCGTTGAAATTTTCAAACTTGTTGTTGCGGTGTTGTTGTGAAAATATAATTCATTTCTTAATCTAATCGTATGGTTTAGGTTCTTGGTGTAGGTTGTAGGAAACTAGACCACACAAATAATTAAAACTAAATATAAACGCTTTATACAAATATGAACGACTATAAACGACCTCGATGTTGATAGTACTTTACTATTTTGAAAAACAACAAGTTAGGGGACGACCATTTATCGTTTGAGGACGGGGGGAGGATGATTTACCGCTGGCAGGGAATTTTTTTCTGGGATCGTTATGTGCAAGTTCTTTTATCCTATTCCATTACCATGTACGATATTTTTTGCCACTCTCTCTTTCGCAGCATTTTTTTTCAATAGCTTATACCATTTAGATTCTTTAATAATAGTTAACGTTGCGTTTTCTAGCTTGATGCATTGCTTTTAATAATACGTATTGCTATGAGGCATAACATGTAGTTCGGGGCCTTTTTTAAGGATGTGTAACTGGAGGGGACATATTTAGCGGGGGACCTGGAGAAGTTCCAGTCGGCAAGTCTGTATCACTGCCGCTACCAGCATATATATGCATGGTTTAACTAATAAATATACGTCATAGGACAGCATATCAGGCCATAACCAGGATTCGGAGACAACCGACTCGACAACCGAATGTGCGAGTTTCTAGAGGGGTCTGGGGGCAAACCCCCCAGAAAAGGTTCGATTTCTTGAAGCTCAGATAAGCTATTTCCAGCATTTTGAGGAGTTTTCCAACAAGAAATTAACTTTACACTAGCCCTTGAAAATCAAACCAGCTGATCTTCAGGGACTGGTCAAATCGATCCCTGCAACCGTGCTGTTTTGCAACATTTTTTTCCCACCCAACACTGGGGCAGAATAGTTTTCCCCACAGTTTGTTAGTGCAGGTATTTTTTTATTCAGAATAGCCTTGAAGGATTTTTTTTCAAAATTAACGCCCACCCCCTCAAACGTTAAATGGTCGGCCCCTTATTTTTAAACATAAATCGTAAGTTAATTAATCATGCATAGCGGAAATGATTAAATCAATTAAATATTCTATGTTAATAACACTAAAAACTTTGTCATCGTGAATGAAATCTCAGTACTTATATAATAAACAAATAACATCATGGTTGGTTCGCAAATACGATTTTTATTCACTCGTGAATTATTACAAGCGCACTCGTTCGCTGCGCTCACTCATTCACATGTAATAATCCATTCGTGAATAAAAATCGTACGCGCTCACCAACCATGAAATCGTACGCGCTCACATACCAAAATAGAAACAAATTAATTTAATAGGAAATATTTCGGAAAATAATCGCAACCCATGCGCTATAGTACTCACCCTAATTCTAATTTAGATTAGGGTTTGATTATTGTCAGATTAAGATTGGGCTTAGGCTTAGAGATTAGAGTCGGAGTTACATTTTGGTTAGGGTCCGTCCAACTTTTCTCCAGTATCCCTGGTTTTGGGGTACCTGGGCTGCGAAACTAGATTGAACATGTACATAGTTTTGAAGCATCAATATAAGGAATAAGGGTATATAAATTTATACTTTATGCTTCTTACCGGATTTCTTTCAAAAAAGGCCTTATAATTGCCCTGAGTATACTAGACATCGCTTCAATTTAGTTAAATTTATTAAATAGTTCAAAATTGTAAAAAAATGTAAAACATCAGTCTCCACCTAATATTATGCATTTTTTTTGCATTACTGGCTTTTTACTCGAGCAAATGTGTTTTCACTTCAAAACATACTGGCTTACACGCGTGTTGTCCTTCTTCTTGCGAAGAGCATGAGTAGCTAAATTATTTTATGGAAGAAACACTGGATTCTGATTTGGCATAATTACCGCTTGCGGATTCCCAATATGGTCATTCCGCATGGTTAGGTCATGCGATTCTGACAATATTTATAGTTAAGCGTTGTTATGTTACCAGGAGGTTTCATTTCTGTGTTTATGTTTCATTTTTGCTAGGTTTTATGAACACCCATTTAAGCCAGCGACTATTCGCCATATTCTTCCTGAGATGGACGTTTTGTCCGAAAGCTCGATTTTAATAAAAACTTTTAACTTTTTTAACTAAAACTTTTCTTATCAGTGTTCACATAAAACCTAGCACAGAAATATTTGTAGTAGTCCACAGGAGCAAGGATAGCAATAAGACACTTTTGATGCTTCTACATCTTAAATAATCATATTATAATTATTTATTTTAACTAGTTTTGAGGTCATATATTGTAAATAAATAGTCCGGCCGAAAAGACATAATAACAACATTTCGCGTAACGAAATTGTTCTTAATAATTTGTATAACTATAAATTAATCACCATGCGCACGCAAATTCCCTTTCGTGATACAGTGAGCACAAGATCCATCAAGGCCTTGTTGGAATCAGTCTTCCTGATGACATGTGTCCTTTGACTAGAGCATCCAGGCTGCCTAATATCTGTCCTTACCGCCAAATTCAGTCGTGTGTCAATGTATATAAGTTTTCATTTTATCCAAGAACAATCGTTACCTGGAATCACATCCCATTTAACAATCTTTGCCAATCAACCCAAGTTTCAAAACACTTGCCATGCCTTCAATTAAGTCACTTAATGTAGCTAATTAGTATCGTTTTGAATCGTTTGTATTGTACTATATGTTCGTTTTGTAGTCTTAGAGTTGTTGTCGTTGTTGTTATTGTCGTTTGTCGCTTTTGCCATCGTTGTTGTTAATAACATATAACAACATCATTCTATAATCACCGCCTAATATATGTGTCATACAGTGATTATGAAGACTAATTTCTTGTAAATAAATATAAATATTATCTAGTTTTTCAGTATATATAACTCCTCCTAGTGTAGTATAATACTGTTTTAGGAGTATTTCATTAAAGCATTAAAACAGCACATATTTGTGTGCAAGGTAGATGGAAATCCCCAATATGGCATTCGATTGTCCATGAAATCGGCTGTATAAACCGCCATGTTTGCCTTTTTCATTCAAAAACTGAACGAAGATATTCGCTCTTTAATACACTAAAACGCTATTTTCCTACATAAAGGTTATAAATCACTTTATCAAAAGTCGTGCCATAGCATTTTGTGTAGACGGGAAAACCATTGAATTCACCATAAAAGTCCGCATCTTTTCATAGTAAACATTTAACAATTATTCGCCGAAGGCGAGGTATCGGAGAATATTCATCTCGACTTCGTCTCGGTGAATATTCACCGGTATACCGGTGACAACATCGCCTTTGGCGATTAATTTTTTATTAATACGTCACATTTGACCAACCAACTTGTAGAATTTGTGATATTCACTTGTGCAAAAACACTAACTCCATATAGTCCATTGCAATTATGTACCGTATACCCTTGAAAACTGTTTGCAATTGCATGAATGACCTCAATGTCTTCGAAATAGACAATGGATGTAAAAATGATGGATATTGAGCTTATTCACCCATTTTAAACACTTGATGACATCATCATGCGTTTAATGTTTGTTTTCAGAATATGCAAGTAAATTACACATATCTTACCAAGTTTTGAACTTACCAATTTGTGACATTTTGTGTTAAGTTGGAAATCAAATTACATCGATATGATATTCTTTTCAAACCAAAACATTTTATGTTGTAAAATACGTTCTGCGTATTAGTTCTGCTCATAACAAAGAGGGACCGAAGATATAAACATTGCCTAAATTTTGCATCTTTGGAACTTTTTTGAATTGAAACGTAGAGTTTATATTAATTTACAAGTATAGCCACAGCCGGCCCAATCTCTCAGTGGGCAGAAATTTTTTGGGGATCACTTTCTTTGCGAGCATGGTAACCGCGCCTGTTATGATGCAATATAGGAAGCCTGTACAGCAGGAAATAGATTGCGGTCGAATACGTACTTTGACGCGACATCATATATATTGTATAGTTATTCACATAACCGCTGCGGTTTTGACGCATTATTCGTCGCGTCTTTCCGAAGGCTTTGTACCCATAAATAAAATGTAATAAAAAGAGAACACTTTACAAATTTTTTTCTAAAATAGATCAAAATATACCATAAATATCGAGATAATGAATTTTGTTTTGAATATATGGTAGTATAAAGGTCATAATTTCGTGCATATATTCGAAATATAGATATAATATTTGCAGTTCATTTAACTGATAGAAACGTTCACATTCAAATTATTCAATTAGGTAAACTTAACTATGAATTTATTTTAAAAGATTCCCTGTTGGAGTGTTGGTATTATGTTATGCACTACTAAAAGTCTAAAATACCGTGTGAGTGAATGTCACAGATAGTCTCGGTTGAAAACGTGATGTTTATTATACTAGCCGACAAACATGCAAACCCGATACTCTAGTTATAGGCGCACTGATGTCTTTATCATTGATTATCACGATTATCAAAATTCAAAGATCAAAATTTGCCTGCGCGCAATGCAAAATGTAAACAAGACACGTTTATAGATTTTGCATTGTAAACAGTGTAAGCTGAGGGCGATGCATAAATTCAGTTGTGGTAACTTCTAATATATATTTTACATTCGTACTTCAGCATTCAGTTTACTTCAGGCTATTAATGCCACACACGTTAGTATTTATTTCCGGAAAATTTAAATATTTCCCGCTAAAAGTTAATGATAATTATTATGGTATAATAGACTTTATGTGAGTACCTGAATAATCCCAAGTTGCATCAAGTGTCCCAACAAATCCAAATATGTACCCTGAATAAACGTCGCGGATACCAAATGCCTTACACGGAAATTGATCCCCCAAACATTTTTTTCCAGAATGGTCTAAATATTTTGAATATTTATACGGAATAACAGGGTAAAAATTTTCCAGAAAAATAGAAAATTGTTAAATTAAAATAGTAGTCCAAATATCAAACTTCGCGCAGTGTAATGTATTGAAAGTTTAACAGTCCAGTTTTGAAATATCATTCAGTAGCAAGGCCTTCGAACATGAACGAGCAGAAAAGTGGTCTTACGCATGAGTTTTGCACGCTCTGAGTGAGATTCCAGCCATCTGATTGGCTATCTCGATTTTTGGCGCGATCTGTAGCGAGTTCTGATCGCTAAAGCGATCAGGTGCTCGAATGCAGGCTATCCGATTGGCTAATTAAAAAAAATCCTGAATCCCATCGGCTGGATTTTTCTGATCGATCATACCGTTCAGGCTTTATTAGTGCACGGAAAGGTCTATGACGTTTCTGGCCCTTTCTGATCGCTACTTTGTGCTTGACCGCAAATTATTAAAGTTCAATGGGAAGATTTACTATCAGAAATTCTGAACTAATTCTAGCTATGTCTGTTAGTATTTACGAAACCGTAAAGGCTGCTTTAGAGAATGAAACTTTTTCTGTACTTTCTCAAAGTTGTAGACAAGATATGTTCTTTACGTCCAACACGCATAAGATTGCATAACTCAAAATGATTCGAGCAAAACCGGTCTTTTGTTAAAAGGAAGAATGGTTAATAGAAATTGGTCTTTTTGAGGGACATAATCGTGTATCGTCATCGACCCGTGTTGTTGGACAATGAAAAATTTGCTGTGAAATTAGTGAAGATAAAATTATAATTATAGCAGTTTGTGAGAAAACTGCGGGTCTATACGGAGTGGGAACTTTTCGGATTTCCTTGAATCCTGAATCCCATTGGCTGGATTTTGTGGGTAGCAAACTGTATAGATTGATTTAAGAGGGCTTGTCAGTAAATATCAAACAAGTCTGGCCAACCTTCAAAAATCGTTTTAACTCGTATTTCCAGGAATGATAGGCCTAAGTATCCCAAGAATTGCTGTGTAGTTAGTTGATCAAATATATTGCTTTTTAGAGAAGAAATTCGCATTTCTTCGAAGACGGTTGGAAATGACTGCACATTAGCGGCTTCAACCCAAGAAAATACTGATTCTACGCACATAAAACTACCTCGGTCTACTAGTACAATTCTCACTCGACAGATTGTGCGACTTTGGAGTCAATAGAGCAATTCTGACCTTTGAAATTAATCTTATTCGCAAGACACGTAAAACGAGTCGATAAAAGTATGTTCTACAAAAATTCATATTGTGAATGTGCTTAAGCTTTGAATGCCTTGAAACGTTGCTAATCTCAAGTCTAAATAATGTTCTTTCGAATGATATAAAGATTACTTTAGGCAAATGACTGTGCGTTACGCTATTGTTCCCAAAGTTGGTTCATATTGCTCACCTTAGACACCTGCCGTCGCTTTACACAAGACAAAATCCATGTGTTTATCGTATAAACAAAATGGTCTCAATTGATATTTGTAACATTTAAATCAAATAAGTAGCATTAAGAACAAAGTACTTACATGTTTAGTTCTGAAAGTACTCCAAAGTAGCATTTAAACTGTGTCTTTTTTATACAAAACATCTCATAAATACTCCTGGCCTGTCAAAATGTCAACAGTTTTGAAACAGTATATCCTATCCATATCAGGTTAGTGTGTTTTCTGACCATCGGAGTCCGTTACAAGCACTGATTTTAACTGAAATTATACATATCATTCAGCAGTTGCATGAAAAAATGAAAATGTAATTGAATCTAATATATTTTTACTGTAAATATTAAAATAAACAACAAACCAATCTTTGCAACGTAACTTCCTCTTCAACTTTCTTCAATTTCCTTTTGTGAAAATTTTCATTCAATGACTATTTAATATTTTCCCTTAAAATCTCTCAGATCGCGCAAACAACAGATCGGTTAAGAAGGAGCTTTACTTTTTCAATTTCTTCAAAAACATTATTATACAATTACTATACAAATACTTATATTGGGTTCTCTGCAGTTCGATGAAATCGTACAAAACAATTTTTGAGGGCCAAAGTTTGAGGCTTAAATTGGTGAATTGCACGTACATGATTGGACTAAGTTCACTAACATATCTACATATGGCTTCTTTCTTTTCTGCTTCACGCTAGATATATCTAGTTCAAAATATCTACATATTACTTGCAGCATTGCTATTGAAAATTTGGGGAGCTTGGAAGTTGCCGCCATTCCACAGATGTTGTACGAGTCGTAGATAATTGGATGGTTAAGGGAAATCTCGTTTAAAATCTCATCTCGAATCCGGTGATATTCCTTCACTGACGATAAGTCATCGTCTTTATCATTGTCGTCCTCATCATCATCATCATCATTATCACTTGTACTATTGGCTTCTGGAGCAGATTTCTTGGACGACAAACGAGAAAAAAAACTTGCAATCTGTTTGGATGTCAGATACTCATCAGATTTAAATAGAGATGATCCATCAATATCTCGCGATATCGTCAGGGTCTGCTTTCTGGCGAGTCTGTTCGCCAAGAATAAATATGTCAGTCAAGTACTTCTTTTGATTCTTTGTAAGACGGCAACGGCTAGCACTACTTTTTAACGCCCATCCTATTGGTGATGGCTGAACATCTAATGACTCACTTGATCCTGAAGCGCTCTCAATAATCTGGTCAAAAGCTGACTCTCCGCTTTCAAGGTTTTCAGCATATCTAAGCATAGCTTTGTCAAGAAGGGTTTCTCTCTCCAGAGCGTACTTATGCTTGCCAATATCCAAGTGACTTTGGAGCGAGGAAAACCTTTGAAATGTTTTCACGCATCCTACCTCAGAGCAGGTAAACAAGTTGTCATCTGTGTCACTACTCTCATCAGGAGATTTAGCTGTGGCTTCTGTTGTCCTTTTCTTGACATTGTGCCTTGGAGTGACGTCACAGAATGTTAGGTTGGGGTCCGAGGCATCTTCCAATTTACTGAAGGACGGCATTAGTTCTGCTGCAGGAGACGTCTTTGACTGAAAATTGCTGTATGTGATTTCTTTACCTACTCCGACACCGTATGCTCTCCAGACCTTCATATGCTCATCCTTGAACTCAATATCATTGATAAAGCTCACACCCTCCCATCTTCCAAAAGGACCTGCATCAGGAATCGTTAAGGGACCACAAAGTACAGCTCTAACACTACGGACGCCACCTACTGATTCTATCGCAGTTTTCATCTGAGCTGCATTTGATATATCATTGCCAGAGTTGAGGTAAGATCGCAAGTGATTCTTCACTGTGGCCGCTTTGCGATCACATGGACCTTTACTCCCTTGTGGATCGGAAAAATCCATCCGAATGTCGACGTTGTGTTTTTTGGCAAGTTCTCGTACTCCAAGTATAGTAATTCCACTGTGATAGCACCCAGCGTTGTCTTGTCTGAACTTTACAGATTTTAACTGTGGCATCACCTGCTTCAGCTCTGGATAACATCATCAATCACTGCCAAAACAAAATTTGCTCTTTTGGAAAATATGGACAAGGGTTAGCATCTGCATTGATTTGTCTTCTTCTAACTTCCTCATCGCCACGCTGACGTGCCAAGATATGCCGCGCTTGCCAAACCAGTCGGTTTGGCTTTCACGGTACTTCCTGGGGATGAATTTCATGGCCCAATCTAAAACAACCAGCACAGATTTGCTATCCAAGGTATTTAGCATATCGATGCGGCCTTCATCCTGATTGACAGATCGTAACAAGTGTGATTTCCACGCATCAATATTTTTCTTTGATTGCTCTACTACAAATTTGATTTCTTCTTTTTCTTCCTGGCTTATGAGAATCGCTTTGTCCAACACAGACTCAATTTCTCCTACAGCAGTTGGGAGGTTGCATCTGTCACAAGCTAGATCATGCTGGTGATCGCACGTGCTTGAATAGGCTTTTTCATTACCCTGGCTCAAAGCATAGGGTCTGCAGTGATCAGGCACTCTTGAGCTCGATGATACATGAACCTATTAAATATCGATGTGATGGATAGATTTACCACACTTAACTGAAATATACATGTACTCTCATAAATTCTCGGCGTAATGCTAGATGTACTATACTTGATTAGTAAACATCCGTAAAGAATTAACAATAAATTCCAACTAACCTTGTAATCTTCTTTAAAATAACGTTTGGCCAGTTTAAGCTTGCTGATCACCTCTCTAGACCATGATAAGCCGTTTTCGTAGTTGTCTCCAAGTTTGTCAGCTACTTCAACGAGGTCGTCAAAAGCTTTTGCCCTTCCGCCGAGAAATAGTCCAAACCCTGAAGAGACTTGCGAGTGGATGCCGCGAAGACGTTAAGTATCCTCGACAGACTGCTATGGCTGAAAGGTGAACTAAATCCAGTTTCGGCGCAGTAACTCTGATACTGTTTGATTATCTGTTCAGGGATGGACGTTCTTATGACATTCGGTATTTTGATTTCAGATCCAGATGACAGTTTCAGTGTTTTTTCTCCGAAGGGCAAATCCTGGATAATTTTGGCACTTGTTATAAACGCCAAGAAGTGGTCAAGCTTTTCAGGAGACACCTTTATTCTTTTTTTGTTTTTGTTGAGGAACTTCTGTACCTCTACCATGGAGGAAAAGACGATGTCTTGCGATGTTGTAGCGATATCTTAGATAGATCCGGCAGCCATTTCTGCAGTGTTGCAAACCTAACTTTATCAGCTATGATAGACAGCATTTGTCTACGGCTGCTCCAGTGGCTGCAGTTTTCGTAGCACTCCACCATAGTTTCAAGTAAAGAGGAATCCATGTCATCAGCATTCTTTTGTCTTTCCGCCTGTATTGCGCTAAACAGAATTTCTGAGTTTTGTGGAGCAAGTTCCTCTAGGGCAGCTAAAGCGACCTGTTTTCCTTTCCTCACATAACGTCGTTTTGTGCGCTATGCGGCTGTGTCCCACGGGATTGTCATGGACGTGCGGATTGGGCTTACATCTCTGGAAGCTAGAAAAATATTCAACTTCTCTCTTGTATTACTGCCAGCATTTAGTCCTTCTTCGTCACGTGTTTCTTCTAGTTCTAAATGTTGAGAAAATCCTGAAGGGCTAAACAATGTTGATGATTCTTGACTTATTGGAGTTTGAAGGCGCTGTTGAATGCAGGTTGTCTGCTGAGGTGTCTTGAAAGAAATCTCCTTTGAATTGTCCTAAAATTTGAAAGCATCAACTTCAACATTGTTTTAGGTACCTTACGCGCTTGGGTTGAACCAATTTCTTTGTGCCATTGCAGATTATTTGGTTTGATTTTTGTAATTTTATAGCTAAACACAGTCGAAAGCCTCCCAGTTCATTACTCGTTTCCAAAATGGAAAATAACAGATAACCCTCCCGGTCCTAACAGGAAAAACTATGATGATCCCCAAGCCCCCTCTCAACGTACAGTCCCTAAAAGCGTAAGTTTTATAACAGTTAATCTATAAAACCTATGGGCGTACGGGCCTAATCTTATTTGGGGGGGGGGGGGCACAGTATTAGTTTGCCCGATTATTAATTCTTTTCGCCTGACTTTTGTTGCTACCGTAAAAATTTTGGGGGGCATATTCCCCCCATGCCCCCCCCCCCGGCCCATACGCCCATGATAAAACCATATTAAATATCCAGGTATCATACCAGTGTTGTTTCCTTGAACTGATCTTCCATCTTTCTGAAGTCTGTAATTTCCTTTAATTTCTCACGGCATTTTCTGCACACCCCTTGCAATGATATAGAAGAATCTATTATAAACCAGTCATTCTTCGAAACTTCGTTAATTTATTTACTAAATTACCTGATCCAGCTTGTAAAAAGACACCAGTGTCACGTAGCAGTAGCTCCGATTGTAACTTTCCGAGCCCTCTATCTCCTTTTGGCCAACTTTTTTTTGTCTTTCCATGGTTAGACAGAACGGGTGGTATTCTGCACCTGGTACTCGCTCCCCTCGTCCATTCCACCCCAAGTTTGCACGATGAAGAGGACATATCGACGTTGAAGTGATATCATCTGGCCTCGTGAAAATAGCAGCACGACACAAGATCAAGTCCACCTCATTTTCCGGTCCAGAAAACGAGTACGATGCTCTGTGTGTTGTGATGTCTTTCACGCACGAAAGTAAGGGGACTACTAGTACTTCGTCCTGTTCTCTATTTCTGGTATCCGCTCCACATAGTCCTCCAACAATTGACTTTAACGAGCAGCAAACTTCCATATTTTGTAACATCAATGCATCTAGAGTATGCCTGTTTGCAGGTTGTGTATTACATTAATCGAATGAAAATTTTCACAAAAGGAAATTGAAGAAAGTTGAAGAGGAAGTTACGTTGCAAAGATTGGTTTGTTGTTTATTTTAATATTTACACTAAAAGTATATTAGATTCATTTACATTTTCGTTTTTTCATGCAACTGCTGAATGATATGAATAATATCAGTTAAAATCAGTGCTTGTAACGGACTCCGATGGTCAGAAAACACACTAACCTGATATGGATAGGATATACTGTTTCAAAACTGTTGACATTTTGACAAGCCAGGAGTATTTATGAGATGTTTTGTATAAAAAAGACACAGTTTAAATGCTACTTTGGAGTACTTTCAGAACTAAACATGTAAGTACCTTGTTCTTCATACTACTGATTTGATTTAAATGTCACAAATATCAATTGAGACTCTTTTGTTTATACGATAAACACATGGATTTTGTCTTGTGTAAAGTGACGGCACGTGTCAAAGGTGAGCAATATGAACCAACTTTGGGAAGCAATAGCGTAACGCACAATCATTTGCCCAAAGTAATCTTTATATCATTCGAAAGATCATTATTTAGACTTGAGATTAGCAACGTTTCCAGACATTCAAAGCTTAAGCACATTCACAATATGAATTTTTGTAAAACATACTTTTATCGACTCGTTTTACGTGTCTTAGAAATAAGATTAATTTCAAAGGTCAGAATTGTTCTAATCGGACTCCAAAGTCGCACAATCTGTCGAGTGAGAATTGTACTAGTAGACTGAGGTAGTTTTATGTGCATAGAATCAGTATTTTCTTGGGTTGAGGCCGCTAAAGTGCAGTCAATTGTGTACTGGCTAAAAATAGCATTTCCAACCGTCTTCGAAGAAATGCGAATTTCTTCTCTAAAAAGCAATATATTTGATCAACTAACTACACAGCAATTCTTGGGATACTTATAGGTCTATCATTCCTGGAAATATGAGCTAAAATGATATTTGAAGGTTGGCCAGACTTGTTTGATATTTACTGACAAGCCCTCTTAAAACACACACAAAAATTGTTATAAATCGCAAAAAGCAACAAGAAACAAGCCGTTAAATTCGACACAATAGCATCTGAATTTGGCTTGTGAAGCAGTTTTCGCTTGTTTTCCCGCGTTTTGTTCCCGTATCCTAGGATACGAGGCCTCGTCACGATTTATGAATAAGGTCTATAGTCTTCAGGTTTTTCCTGTTGGTTTTTCTGGTGTATCAGTAATTTGAGTTTCCTCATTTTTCAAATCATGAATTCCAATAAACTCGAATTCTATAAAAACAAATGATACAATCAGGAACAAATCGAACAATATGTTAGAAAAGCTTGCTTGTTTACGTCGCGCCATATTTCCTGTAGAGTCCGATCCCGCGAGTGGCGACAACAAAAGCAAAATACCCCATTTTCAAACAACGATTACTCGTCGGTTTCAGGGGCCTTTTTATGTTTTAAGGTACAATACAATACAATACAATACAATACAATACAATACAATACAATACAATAAAATTTATTTATCCACGGTGGAATCTTCAGTATATATATATATATATATATATATATATATATATATATATATATATATATATATATATATATATATATATATATATATATATATATATATATATATATATATATATATATATATTTCATTCTTATATTTTCGGGAAGGCTATACACAATTTTTCGACAAACATCTTTCAAAAACTCGCAAAATTCAATTCCCAATATTCCGAATATATCAATTATATATATATTGAGATATCAGTAATTGTTGTGTATCTTTGCTAATTTTTATCAAAATCTTTTGAAAGATGCGGCGTGTTTGTTAATTCAACCTACATCATTAAGCATACTGTTTTTTATCCATCAAAAATAACAAAGATACACAAGAATTACTGATATCTCATTATATATGTAATTGAGTAAAAGACGTCACATGGCTACAAACAAAATGAAATATCTCAAGAACTAAGGATGGGAACAAAAATCTTCAAGACAAGTTAGTGTACAATTTTAACAGCATTTTCGTTTAAGAGAATCGAAATTTTGATGACAGTGCCCTTTTAAGTATGAACTTTCCTAGTGAAAAGAAGGGATGTAACGGAAGCTAATATATGTAAATGTCTGATGTAAATATGTTTTATGCCCATAGATAGCCTATAAATAGTTAGTATCTATTTAATAAAGCGTTCTTTTTCACTTACACTTTAGTCAAAATCCAAGATGTAATTGGTTATATGTTAGCGAATATATGCTAATGCGACCTAAACGCACTTATAAAGCAACTTACGTATGCAGATTATTTGTTACGATATGAATGAAAATCACATTATTGCTTGCCTCTGCAAATTCCATTCCCACGCCGGTATTATAAGTGCACACAAAGCGAGTATATCTAGCTGAAGTATGTAGTAAATATATGATAACTTGACACAGTATATTGTTTTGCCCAGATTGGGTTTGCCATGCATTTTTTGTACGACATGGTTATTTATGCATCCACATGCACAATCTGTTATTATAGCTGGGTTTCACTAAGTGCTATACATGGGGAAACTTTCCCCGCTCCAACACAACTTTACATGCATGTATTGAAAAGTTATACCTACATTGGGGGCCAGTCATAGTCGTATGAGCGACAGCATAACGGTAAATTGGGTGCATTTGCAACCAACTGAAAATAATCGAAACACAACTGCACTTCCTTTTCATAATAATTATTAAGAAATTGAGGGAATTTGACTATGAAGTTAATACACATAGACCTGACAAGTACAGGAGCACACTGACCCCGCTGGAATTTGAATTAGTTTGACTAGTCTTGTATTCTTATCTATTCCTTAGGATCATATTTTGCAGTGACGTTGATTGGACTGAATCAGTAATGGAATTTTTCGATCAGCTTGATTTAGCAGAGAGAATTGCATTAATTATTTTAGCCATTGTTACAATTCTTGGCAATACTTTGGTTTTGGTGGTAACCTGGAGAGAGCGAAGTCTTCATCAACCAAATAAATATTTCGTTGTTTGCCTGGCTGTCGCTGATCTTTTGGTTGGTATGATTCTGGAACCACTGAGGCTGTATCAACTCAATTTTCAAATGAATCCAATTAGATCCAATTTTTTTAATTCAAATAATCATGAATGTCGTTTGATGGTGTGGCTAGATACCTTCGCGCTAACAGCATCTATTTATTCACTGACATTCATCAGTTTCGACCGATACCTGAAAATAATCAGGCCACTTCAGTACAGATCCAGCATGACAACTTCGATATCAGTGAAAATAATTTTCATCATTTGGTCCATTTCAACTGCCTTTGCCACCTACGCCGCCACTCCTTACTCCGGGTGTGGGGGAATATTGCTTGTTACCGCTTGTACTTTCGATTTCAGCCTGGCGAAAGGGTTCTATATTTTTCTGGCAATAAGTGCGTTTTTTCTACTCACCATAGTCATGCTGATTATGCACGATCTCATTTTTGTTGTTGTTCGCAAACGACAAAAGATGCTGCGAAATGGCGAACTGGGACTAACTTTCAATGATCGAAACCAACGAAGCGACTTTCGTCAAAATCTGAAGACTATCCGAATGTTACTCGTTGACGTGGGAGTATTTATACTTTGTTGGGGTCCTTTCTTCATTTATCTATTGCTTTGGTACTACGATCCTGATTTTATTGATTGGGATAGATTATCGAGGTCATCCAGCTACCGGCATCTGATTAACATAATTAGATTAGTAATAACCAGACTTCTTTATTTTAACAGTCTATGTAATCCAATAATTTATGGCTGTCTGGACCAGAGGTACAGAACTGCTTCCAAAAATCTGTTTCCGCGAATGTGGCGACCAAACTCAGGAAGACGTCAACCACACGAGGCAATAGAGTTACGCCCAATAAGAACCAGATAAATATATAAATGTTGTTGTTGTTGTATAGCTAGGGTGATGAGAGCACCAAACGTGATTAGCTAATTTATTGTCACGTGTCTTTTATAAATAGTTACCGTCCATAAGCTGTATAGTTTAATTTCGTAACTTCCCTTCCATCACGTGGTCCGATGTAATAATTGCATCATGCTGTGCATCCTGCATGTACCCTTGAGGCCAGGCCCTTAGTCTGATACAAACTTTAGCAGCAGATTTACGAAACTACATATCATATTTTCCAATCGTGAACTAGCAGTCCATCCGTTACGAATGGTACGGATTGACAACATTTTTGAGGCAAGACCCTTAGTCAGACACAAGCTTTAGCAGCAGATTTACGAATCGGCATATCATATTTTCCAATCGTGAACTAGCAGTCCATCTGTTACGAATGGTACGGATCCACAACATTTTTGAGGCCACCCTTAGTCGGACACAAGCTTTAGCTGCAGATTTACGAATCGGCATATCATATTTTCCGAATGTGAACTAACAGTCCATCCGTTATGAATAGCCTGTGGACAGCCGTTCCTCTAGACGAAGCGCGCGAGAGAACGTCGGTGAGTTGGATGCATAATCATTGTTCAGGTCACGTGGATAGTTCCCAGATTTGGGGACCGGCCTCTCATTGGACAGTGCTTTATTTGAATAATTTGTGACAAATGAAGCTATTTCTTTAATCTTTAACCTTTATCTTTAATCTTTCTAGAATTTCACATTAAATAGTAAATACTAAATACTAATTTACAATGTGAATTACACTTAAACTGTATAAAAAATTAACTAAGACTAATGTTAAGAGTCAATATTTACAAGTAATCTTAAATAAAAATTTTTAAAAATTTTGAAAGAATTCGATAAATTTACTTCGACTCCAGCGTTCGGTTAAAACATTCAATCCCATACACAATTGGGCTATTTTTAAATCGTTCAGTTCGATATTCAAAATAATACAGTTTTTCTCCATTTGATCTAGTTTGTCTCTGTCTTATCTGATTGACTG